CTGACGGAATTCCGTGTTATCATAATTGTGATCTCCCTGGGGCACTACCAGCATCACTTGCTTGTGCCTACAACATGGTATGAATCGAGTCCTCTGTTGCCCGTGCGACTCCAGCTTCTTCAAGCGCCTGGAGCACAGCCGCACATCTTTTAGGGCCAGGCCATATGTTCCTTTCACGGCAGTGCCAAAAGTTAAGTGTGGCACAGTGCGACGAGCAGCAATATCTGGCAACCTGGAAATGTGCAATAGCCTCAGGTTCAGCAGACTGGACGAGTTGAGGTGGAAAACGTATATCTGGACGAGTTCAGCTGCTAGTGTTGGAGTAGCGTTGCGATTTGATCTATCTGGCATTTTTCAATTTTCTTTTTGCTGCAAGCAGCGTGATTGATAGCAACCACATGGTGAGCGAAGTGTTTCGAATTTAACGTTTTGTGTATGGGCATGCTCCTGGGGCAAGCACCAAAGCAAATCCAGCCAAAGTCTCCCATGTTTTGAACATATGTTTGCTTTTAGTCTGACAACAGGACTGCAAACACATGAAGCAACAAACATCCACATGGCTTTGGTTGGAAAAGTTGACTCAATCAATTCCTGGGCATGCGCTTGCAAAACCCAACCTCCTGCGTTAGTTGATGGATAGCTGGCAACCCCTTGTATAAATACAGTAGTTGCTATCCTCCTGATACAATAGGGTGACAGGCTTGCTGAGGTGATGCACCTGGCTTTCCAGGCTTGACACAGGCTTGTGGCAAGGCTGGGTTCCTACATGCAACAACCTCACGCTGTGGTCCCTGTTGTGAACCTGACAGAGATCCTTCCCTTGCCGAGGTCCCAACGTCCCTTCTTCCAAAGCAGGCGCATAGTGCTCCTGGGCTGACTTACACATTGCGTTAAACCCTTGAAGGAGGTGTTTTAAAGTGGTATGAACTTCTTAGGGTGATGACTTAACTTGATCAAATGCGGGCAAAAACTCAATAACTGGAAAGTGGTCATCACTGCCATCTCAGAACCAACCTTCCGAATACCTTACACTAAGCAAGGGATTAGGATTATTTGTTGCGGCTGTTTTTGATGTTTGCTTGCCCTAGGTCTTTTCACAAAACGCTAGAATCTAGAGAGAACAAGTGCGGGAAATGCAAGTGTAGGTCGCCATGGCATTTTGTCTTGAGCAACTTGAAGAATCAGCAACCCGAAAACGTTTATGGAAAAACGGAGGCTTGGAACTACATTTTGATCTCCTGGCATGGTGTTCCCTTTCCAGATTCTGGGTCCTCGAAGCGTGCAACAAGACTGGTTCCTTCTCCAGATGCCGAGTTGTACCGGAGCTCCAGTAAGCACACACCACCCTGAGCAAAAATGAGAAAATAGAACGCATGTCCGGGCTCACACCGATGGACATCACATTATATATGTATGTACATATACACCAACCTAAGGTAGTATAGGGCCACAGGGAATGTCAGGCAAAACCAGCTGGTCTTGCTTTTGACAAGTTCAATCCTCGAAAGGCGCAAGGCGCAAGGTATGAATTTACCCGATAAGCTCCGATCCCGCAAAAAATGCCACAGAAAGTGATAGCAAAGCAACTTTCCAATGGCATGTGATAGGAAAGTTCGCTGCTCCCGTTTATGCAATCACACCTCGCCTTGTTCCCAGCAGTGCCGCAGTAGTTGCTCGCACTGAAAAGAGTGTACACTAATCCCAAGTGGTGTGTGCTGAAGCCGCGCTTGTCCTTCCAGGATCTTCCAGTCGACAATAAACAGTCCAAGCCCAAGCTCTCCGGACAACCACAATGCACAAATTTGCGCTTTGTGTTTAAGCCCGGGGCAGGGGGGAGTAGGCTGCCGTTAAAGGAAGAGGTAATAGAACGCGGCTCTACTAACATACTGGACGCAGGATAGCTCACACGTGGGGGGAGCTTCCTTGAAGAAGCACTCGCACTATTCATGTGGTTCCATAATATAACAACATAGTATAGTATAGTGCACAAGTCTATACAACAAAGAATTGCAAACCTGAGACGCTGCAAAACGAAACCCGGCGTTTTTTGTCCACGAGCACGTTGTGAAGAGAGATAGTAAAAGTGCAGCGGTAGGTACCCTGGGTCCGCGCGCGCGCGCCTTGCTGGCTCCCAGTCTGCCCTAGGTTTAGGCGCGCGCGCTCGCGCGGACCCAGGGCAGCTACAGTTGCCAGGTATAGCACTTTTCCGTCAATCGCTAGCGTGACAAACGTGCAGCAATCCACGTACCGGGTAGCTACAATTCAGTTATATACCAGGTATAGCACTTCAAGTTCCCTTTCCGTCAACCGCTCGACAACCTTGAGAAACGTGCAGTAATCCACAACTTCGAAGTCTCATTCGTGCTTTGAACTTATATAGGTGTGTAAGAGGTATACCAAAATAATGCAAAATAGCATTTATACGTACCCAGGGTAGCTACAATTCAGTTGCCAGGTTTAGCACGTCATTTTCCCTTTCCGTCAACCGCTACAATTCAGTTGCCAGGTATAGCACTTCAATTTCCCTTTCCGTCAACCGCTAGATAACCTGGAGAAACGTGCAGCAATCCACGGATTTGAAGTCTCATTAATGTGACATTCAACCTTTTTGGATGGATATTCATCCTTTCTAGATGTTTGTGAAGCACTCTTGCAATCTATATATATATATATAATGCATTTTGTTTTTTAAAGCTAATGCCTTTTGCAATACTTTTTCAAAGTGCAAGGGATTTAGGATATGAGGCTGGGAAGCCAAGGCTGGGAAGCCAAGGCTGGGAAGCCAAGGCTGGGAAGCCAAGGCTGGGAAGCCTGCGGGCGGCTGGGAAGCCTTTTTTCAGACATGGTGGGCAAGACATGGTGGGGCTGAAGATGAAGACACAGTGACAGTGGGGATCTGAGAGTTCCAGCAAACGAGATGAGAATGGTGTGCTAAACGAGAAAAAGTGTGCAGTATTTAAAACTTGTTGTGGAGTAGGGTGATGATGGTTGGACATGAAACATGCTTATTTGTCCAAAACCTCTTGTGATTATTTGGCTTCCCAGCCAAAAGGCTTCCCAGCCACAGGCTTCCCAGCCGCAGTCAGATCTTGATGAGGCGCATCAACAAGCCACGCTCAGCAGCATAGGTGGAGGCCTGGCGCATGGGAGGATGCACAGGGGATCAAGTACCACTGGGACATGGGAGGATGCACAGGGGGACGTCTCTTGTTGGTGTGTGTTTCATCCTTGCGCAAGGCACCGGACACATAAGTTTTCACCACGCGTAGCCAAAGTGCCACAGAGCCCTCATAGCTCCAAAACTGAAACCAATGTCAGGTTCCACAACTCAGTACTGTTCACCACGGCGAGTTGCCAAAATCTGAGCACGAAGTTCACTGTCCATCCATGCTTTGTTGGCCTGATCACGGGATACTGGCTGGGCATCAGGCTGCGCAACCATGTGCTCCATCCATTGCTTGATGAACGAATTGCGCACACTCCGCATGTCACCACCAATCGCCTGGAAGGGCAAGTGCGTTTACTCTAAAATTTCAAAGTTTGTGTTCTAAAGTTCCAAAGTTTAAAGTTTCAAAGTTTGTATTCACGCGCCGCAAGTTTTCGGTTTAGGAAAACCCACCCACCTGTGTCATCAGGTCAGGGTCGATGGTTGGCTCATAGGACATGGACGCAGCACTCGACTCCCTGCTTCAGCTCTCCCAGCTGCTTCAGCTGGGCCCTCAGGCTCTCCCCCAGGTGCGCTAGGAGGTCGGGGTTCGCGAGGCACACCCTTGGAAACCCACTTCATGTGCCATGCCTTGCTGTTATCACGGTGGAGTTGAGCACGACGCTGTTTCTCCTTCTCCTGGCTTGCTGGTGACATGTCAGAAGGCTTCTTTCTCTTCTTGTCGGTGTTGTTCTTTGAATCACCATCACCACCAGCGCCAGATCCACCCTGATCACTGCCATCAAGAACTGGGTCAGGAAAAATAGGCACATCCCTGCCCTTCCCAGGCTCAGGCACATCGCTGGCCTTCCCAGGCTCAGGCACATCCCTGGCCTTCCCAGGCTCAGGCACATCCCTGGCCTTCTCAGGCTCAGGCACACCAGAGGCCTTATCAGGCTCATCCCCGGTTTTTCCATCCAAGCTCTGGCCACCCTCATCTTCATGTTGGTAACCCAGATTCAATGTCTCTTGTGAATCCTCCATGCCGTCAGCCGCCTAGCCAGGGCGAGTGCCCAAAAGAATCCAAACATATCCAAACAATGGTTTAGATCAGACCAATAGTACCTTTGAAGCCTGCTTGAAATATGGAAACGCAATAATATTAGGGCCTTGCAGTGGTCAACTGGCTGAGCCCAAGTATTTTTCGGCAAGGCAAACAAAGTCGGTGTTTGCGTGGGCGGCGGCTGGAAACTGATGGAATGAAAGCCGGTGGCTGTCTCAGACTCCTGGAATTCAACCTCGGGCTCATCTTCTACAACATAGATGCCCTGTGAATCTTCCATCGCATCAAAAGCAGCACAACTATAGGGGTAGGGAGCCTTCAGGAAGCGTGTGAATGTCTTGGGCCACGATTCACATCAGGACATGTTGGGAGAGGGCTGACAGGACCTGACCTGATGTTTTCCAATAATGGGTCCAAGGCTTGACTTGTTTATGTTTGTTTACGATGTGTCCAAGTCCAAGTCTAAGTCTAAGGTGTGACAAGCTGTGAGATTTTCAATAGAAGAGGAGACGGCTGCATCTTTTGCTCAGCTGTTGCAGGTTTTAGTGAAGTCATCCCGCATCACCGTGCCGCGCTCAGCGACATTGACAATCCGTAAACGCTGGTGACCAGTCACTGCAGACAAACTGAAGCTCGAGTTCCGGTAAAATAGAAGATTCAATGTGCAGTGTTTAAAGTTTCTGCTACGCAACATTCCGTCCAGCAGTGAACACCACGTACCAGCTTCCCAGCTTCCTTTCCAGAGGATGCTTCAATCCTCACTCACAAAATTAAATGTTAGTTGGCAAAAATTCAGATGATCCTTTGGACCTTGCCCTTGGTCAGATTGAGCTCGTGGCTCAAAAACCACAACGGCTTTGCCGCCCCCAAGGTCTTTTCAGGACGATAAGCCCTCAGGCGCCATACCTCAGGACCGGGATTTGCGGGGCATATGGGAAACGGAAAACAGCAAACAATCACATGGTCTGGGAAGACCAAGTCTGGGAAGACAAGTCGCAGAAGCAAACAAATCTTCATGATGGTAATTGGAAAAGAAAGTGGTCAATAATTTGGTGGTGAACACAGGTCTGGGAAGACATTTGAAGGTCAGGTGTGGCATGCTTGTTCAAAGTATGCAGCATGAGGGTGATGGAAAACCTGTCCCAGGTAGATCTGGCGTTGAGATGGGCACAAACGTATGCAATGAGGGTACAACCACCTTGCGGAAGCCGGGCCAAGCTACAAGCAACAAGTGCCGCACCCCGTCTAGCACCTTGGACGGAAAGAAGCTTGCGATGTTGGTGGCACGAAGGCTCGACATTTGAAGCGTGTTTGGTCTCCACAACATGGTGCCGTCATCCTTCTTCTTCACGACCAACCTAGCTTCAAGCAAAATGATGGCTTCAAACAAAAATTGGGACGATCACCATGGGAGCAAAACAGAAAACAATTTGAGGCGTGGACTTGTCAGGAGATCTGCCTTGCATGACAGCAGCATCACGGGAGAATTCATGCCCACCCAACACAAAGTCGACCATCCCAGAGGTCTCCAGCTGCTGGATCACTTCTCGTAAAGGCTTCACTGGGCCATCAGTTTGGTTCTCCTCCCCACAACAGTAACAGCTCACAGCAAAACATGTGTTTTTCTATGAAAACGACTTTTGACTAGTATTTTTTGGTGATGATAGACACAACATTGAAATCACTCCTCCAGCAAGACCCGGTCTTCATCCGACTTGAACTCACACAAGCAAGCCTTGTGAGGACCATCCTCTTGGTCAGCGAGCCATTGCTGAGCCTTACCGTCCATCAGCCATGTTCCAGCACCATAGGTGAGGAAAGCTTCCGAGGATGGGATCACATAGTCGTTCTTTCCCTCCAAGAAAAGCATGAGTTTTTTGTCCTTCTCCTCAGTGTTTGCATCCGAAGTGTCCACAAGGTAGGCCTGGACTTCTGGACACCAAGCGCATTTGCCAACGATGAACCGCTCATACTTTGCGTGAAAGTCAGCTGCTTCGCGCGGCTCATCTGCAAACAGGGCTGGCCAATCCAAGGCAGGCGTTGAATCAGCTTGAGGAGCAGGTTGAACGGCAGCGGCACCTGTCTCTGCAGCAGGGGTGGCAAAGGTGCGGTCAAACTCCTGCAAAAGCTTCCTCCATTCTGGAGCACGAACAGCGTCAGACAAGAACTCGCTTCGTGCATCTCGAGGCAACACCAGGCAATCCTCCACAATAGTGCACAGCTTCAGCTCAGGCTGATCTGGAGGAGCAGGCGTAGCGTCCTCATCCATTTGCGCTTTGTACTTTGGCATGCGATCACGCATGGGGCCCTCCCGGGCCTTCCACATCTCCAGCAACTGGTTCTTTGTCAAATTCAGAGCAGTTTGAAAGGCTGGTTGTTTGTCAGTCTGACTCACAGTTGTGAGGCCCAGCTCCAAGCACGCCTTCTCCAGGCAGCCATCATACAAAGTCGCATTGACAACCATGGCCGGACGATCTGTGCCACCTCAGACCCCACAATGCGACAATAAAAGCAAGGAAGAATCAGAAGGCGCTGAGTTTGAAGTGGACCTTGAAAGCAAAGTGCTGTTTGGGAAAACACAAGAGGCTAAAGCTAGACAAAGAAACGGTTGAGCAGATCCTTGAGCACACAAAGTGGGAAGTCCACCCCACCCAACCACTGGGCAGTTTCTTGGACATCAGTGTAGTTGCGACGCCCCTCTGCCGAACTGATGGATCCGGTGCCTGCACCTGGCACAACGAACGCCTGCTCCTGGATCGCCTTTGGATGCCCCGACACCAGCTGGCATGTCCAAAGCTTCGAAGAGCAAAAGATGTTGACATTCTCCCGGTCAACCTCACAGAACATTGTCAATATATTCCCACCAGCATTAAAAGTTGAATGTTGGGTAGGCCTAATGACACTGATTCTGAATGCTTGATGCATCATGATACATACGCAGCGCCTTTCACAATCAAGCTCTTACAAAAAAGTAGGCCTTGTCAGCAGTCCGATTCGCTCGATGGGCAGTGCCCTTTGCAGGCAGTGTGGCGTCCGCCACACAAAGGTAAAGCGTGAAACCAGCAGGCATGTCCCGGTTGGAATGCAGGTCTGACAAATCCAAGGTGACAAAGAAGGGGCGGAACTCGATGCAATGCGAGACGAGTTTGTCTTCAAGCTTCCTAAGCTCACAAATGACAATTTCTCAATGTAAAAAGGTTTGAACAAGTCGGTCCTGCAATCTCACAGTTTCTCATCCCCTATTCAATAAAATTCCATGGGTCCGCACATCATTTCGGAGAGCGCCACATCCCTGCGTGCTTGTCAGCAAAGGCAAGGCCATCACCACACAGGAGCCTGGCTCAATCCGTGTTCGAATCGCAAAGAACATGGGAAGAGTGGGCCACAGTCAAACATAAGGTGACGGCGCAAAGATGCGCAAAGTAACTATAGGCTGAGGAACCTAGCTGGTTTTTGGCGAGCACCTTCTCACACCAAGTGCCAATCTTGTTGATGTCCTTTTGGGTCACCACACCGAGCTTTGTCAAATCGACCCACCCAATGAGGTCCACTTTGTCAACTGGCACCTTGACAAGCAAACTTGAAGCAAACTTCAGGACCAGTGCAGCAGTTCAACCTGATTCAATGTGGCAAAA